ACACCCAAAAAACAAATAATCAAGTCAAAAAGTGGGCAGAAGAGATGAAGACACTTCTCTGAAGAAAACATACAAATGGCTAACAGACACATGAAAAAATGTTCATCATCATTAGCCACCAGGGAAATCCAAATCAAAACCACACTGAGATACCACCTTACACCAGTTAGAATGGCAAGAATGGACAGGAAAAGAAACAACAAATGTTGGAGAGGTTGTGGAGAAAGGGGAACCCTCTTACACTGTTGGTGGGAATGCAAGTTGGTACAGCCACTTTGGAAAACAGTGTGGAGGTTCCTCAAAAATTTAAAAATAGAGCTACCCTATGACCCAGCAATTGCACTACTGGGTATTTACCCCAAAGACACAGATGTAGTGAAAAGAAGGGCCATATGCACCCCAATATTCATAGCAGCAATGTCCACAATAGCCAAACTGGAAAGAGCCAAGATGCCCTTCAACAGATGAATGGATAAAGAAGATGTGGTCCATATATACAATGGAATATGACTCAGCCATCAGAAAAGATGAATACCCAACTTTTACATCAACATGGATGGGACTGGAGGAGATTATGTTAAGTGAAATAAGTCAAGCATAGAAAGTCATTTATCATATGGTTTCACTTATTTGTGGAACATAAGGAATAACATGGAGGACATTAGGAGAAGGAAGGGAAAAATGGGCGGGGAGAATTGGAGGGAGAGATGAACCATGAGAGACTATGGACCTGAGAAACAAACAGGGTTTTAGAGGGGAGGGGGGAGGGGGATTGGTTAGCCTGGTGATGGGTATTAAGGAGGGCATGTACTGCATGGAGCACTGGGTGTTATATGAAAACAATGGATCGTGGATCACCACATCAAAAACCAATGATGTATTGTATGGTAACTAACATAACATAATAAAATTAAAAACTACAAAAAAGAAAGTTGGGGTTTTAGGGGCACCTGGGTGGCTCAGTCGGTTAAGCGTCTGCTTTTGGCTCAGGTCGCAGGGTCCCAGATCCCAGGGTCCCAGGATCAAGCCCCATGTTGTGCTCCCTGCTCAGTGGGGAGCCTGCTTCTCCCTCTGCCCACAGCTCCCCCTGCTTGTTATATTTCTCTCTCCCCCTCCACACAAATAAATAAATAAAATCTTTAAAAATAAAAAAAAAGGAGAAAAAGAAAGTGGGGATTTTGACCCAGTTCCCACTGTGTCCCCAGGGCCCTGAGGATGAGTACAAGTTTCAGGTGCTCCAGCTTTGTAACAGGTGTAAGACTGAGGGACCAGTTCTTGTGGGAAGGCCCCTCTCCCTTGCCCTGTCCATCCTTGTTGGCTTGGGGTGGTCCTGCCTGCTTCTTTTCTGGAGTTTGTGTGTTGAGGGAACAGGGAAACGGTTTCTGGATACTCAGTGTCACCCTGAGGTAGGTCCCTGGGCAAAACCCTGCCAGAGGCAGAGGCAAAAGCAGGGGCTTGCTAGAAACACACACCAGCTACCTGGCCAGGCCCCAATTCCCAGCGAGGAAAAGAGGCCCAGCTAGTGGCTCAATCTCAGGAGAGCTCCCTCTTCCCCAAAATGTGAATCTAGTGTTGACTCTGCTGCCCTAGTACTGGCCTGTTGGCCTCAGTCTCTGGGTCAAGGCCTGCAACTGGGAAAATAGCTATGCTGGTTATCAAATGCTCTACCATGTTCTGCTCTGCGGCCACTTCCTCATCTGTCAGGAGACAGTGGACACTTTCCTCAACTTTCCCAAGGTGTCAGGGTCACGATATAGCCTGGGCTCAATAAATACAGGACTGAACACAAAGTAACAATGAAGTGGAAAACTTGGGACGGCCTTGGTGGATGCCCAGGCCTCTCCCATGGAGGACAGAGGAAGGAGGAAGGGGTCTGGGACCTGGGGTAGTTGGAGCTGGCCGGTGACGTACATGGAGAGCTACCCCAGCAGCCTGCAGTCTTTGCCCTGTGAGTGAGCCTCAGCATGACCCCACACATTTCAGAGTGGTCCCTGATGTCCCTGATGCTCCAACTCCCCTCAGATCCCAATACCTGACGTGGAATGCAGACCTGGATTTCTCCCTGGCCCTAGTGTAGCCCAGTAAGGGAGTGTGTCTTGCTTGGAAGCTACATTTTTGAGTCTCTCTTTTTTTCAAAATTCTCATGATCAAAGGGAAAATGAGGACATGGTGACAAAGCCAATGCTTCTGTCATCCATGTATCTTCTAAAAAGCACAATTTCTGCAGAGGAGGGTGGAGGCAGGATAACTTCTCACAGTCACCTGGTCCCCCAGGTGGCCCAGGCTACAGACTTGGCCTTAATGAGGCTTTGAACTTTGGAAGGGAATGGGCCAATAATGAAGGTGCCTCAGAGTTCTCTTCAGGCTCGCATATGACACTGACAACTGTGGGCAAATAAAAACTCAGAAATCCGGAGCCCCTGGGTGGCTCAGTCAGTTAAGCATCCATGATTAAGCATCTGCCTTTGGCTCAGGTCATGATCTTAGGGTCCTGGGATGGAGCCCCACATCGGGCTCCCTGCTCAGCAGGGAGCCTGCTTCTCCTTCTCCCTCTGCCCCTCCCCCCTGCTCATGCATGCTCTCTCTCTCTCTCTCCTAATAAGTAAAATCTAAAAAAAAAAAAAAAAAAAAAAAAAAAACCCTCAGAAATCTCATTAGTCAATATAACTGTTTTGATACTGATTCTTCATTCTGACTAACTCAGTGCATCAGAAGGGCCCAGATAGTTCTGGAGAGTTAAACCCAAAGCAATATCCCACTAGTACTAGACAGCTGACCTTGGGTGTGGTCAGTAAAGTCTAGTTTGTCCCAGATGCTTGCAGGATTGTGGATAAGATGGAAACAACCAGCCTAGGGTGTGTCAGTGTGTTAGGTCCCTCCAGGCGTGGAACCACATTGTCAGGGTTCAGAGGAGAAAGCCCTAGGGGCTGCTCATGGGACCAGATGGGGCTGGCCAACTCCAGCTATAGAGCAAGAGAGCAAATGCTGTGGCAGTGGTTGCGGGCTGAAGGGCAGAGGTGGGCAGAGAAGTGAAAGCTACAGGGGCCATTCGCATAGGGATCCCCATCCCAAGGCGGGGGAGCAATGTGACAAGAACTGGTCTGCCTCTGTTTCTAGAACTCCATGACCACATGGAGGAGGGAGGTCTGGGCATGCCTTCCCCAGAACATGGTTACTGGCTGAGGTGAGAAAATGCAAGTGTGTCCTGTTGCCTGATCTCCCCCAGTTATGCCCCAGGTTGTCCCAGGCTGCCCTTCACAGTAGATCTGGGCTCCACTATGAGGTTGCTTCCTCCAGAAGCTCAGCTTGAGACAATAATTCAAGTGCAAGTGGTTTATTTTGAGGGGATTATACAAAATACCAGAAGGGCAGTGAGGAAGTAAGAGTGGGAAGCAGCATGTCAGAGAGAGCAGACTAACAATGTGGGAGGTTAGGGCTCTGTCTTGCTGGGCACATCTCAAAAACTAGATAGGACACGCCTCAGTGTTACTGTCCAAGGGTCTGGAGCCTGGGGCATTCCCTCCCCAGCACTCTAGCCATGTCCCATAGGTGAAGAGAAAGCCTTCAGGCAGCAAGGCTCAGGTACAGGGAGTGTTTCCTTGTCAGACAGGTGACACCCAAGCTTTACCGTCTCTTACATGTCGAAGAAGGCATGCATGCCCTTGTTCCTGTGTTACTGTTGACACTGCCCTGGCTGGACTTGACCTGCCCACCAGTGCTGTAACTTCCATATCCAGGTTTCAGAAAGTGCCTCTTTCTGGTCATGTTAACCATCTTCATCATCTTATCCTACCTCTCCACACATGCACACATACACGCACACACAAACACATATGAACATGTGTGCACACACAGTGGTAGCCAGCCTCCAAGATGACATCCACTGATCCTCATCTCCTGGTCATCATACCCTTGTACAGTCCCTTCCCACGCTGAGCCAGAGCTAATCTGGGGGACGATTAACACAAGGAAGAAGCGATGGTGTATGACATCTGAAGCTAAGTCACAAAGAGCAGTGTGGCTTCCATCTTAGTCTCTCAGAACATTCTATCTGGAGGAAGCCATATCAAGCACCCAGAGGCTCTGTGGAGAGGCCCACATGGAGAACAGAGATCTCCTGTCAGTGGCCAGCACCAACTTGTAGTCATAAGTGTGAGCCACCTGGGAAGTGGATTCTCCAGAGCCAAACTAACCCTCAGATGAGGGCAGTGTAGTCAATGTCTGAGTGTAACCTCAACAGACAATGACATCTGGAACCACCCCACCAAGCCACCCTCAGATCCCTGACCCACAGACACCGTAAGAGATTTAAATTACTTAAGCCATTAAGGGCAGAGTGATTAGTCATGCAGCATTAGATAACTGATATATCCCACTGTGCACACACGCACACACATTCATGCACAAAGCAGCCTAGTATCCATGAGCCATCAATCACCCCTACATTGTTTCTGCTTCACTTCAAAACCAAAAGTACACTGCAAATATACAAATAACCCAACTATCTTCCAGTTGGATCAGTTGTCTAAAACTGTTTTTAAGCCAATGGGCTGTGTCTTCCCTGGAGTCCTAGGCAGGGAGATTTCTGTGGAAATCCATGGAAGGAACACTCTCAAGGCAGCCAGACCCCTCAGAATCTTGCAGAAACAATCCATCAGCTCAAAACAGTTGAGGACTGCGTCCTCCAGTTAGTTCTCCGGAAACAGCTGCCAGTGAAAAGTAATCTGTGCTCAGAGTTCAATGAGATAAGGAAACAGGTTTACAGTCTCTTCCATCTACTGGCAGCAGATTGTCCCGCTAGTAGATGAGTGAGTCAACTAGAAGAGGCTGACCAACACTGTAAAAAGGTATCATGTTCTCAGTATCAGCCCCTGAAGGGCACACAAAAAAGCAAAAAGGCCACAAAAATGAAGTCAATGGGTCAGCTTATTTAGATGTTTCGCAGGTGTATTTCCTTCTTTAAAATGGAAGTGAAAACAGTCGAACATGCTAGAAGATAATTAGACCTCTTCGCATTGTTTCTTCAGCATAGTGAACTCAAATTTCCAAGGTTTGGTTGCAACAATAAAGGTGCAAAGAAACATCTAAAAGAGACAAAAAGAATAATCAGTTTGTAAGAAAGAAAAATGAAAAACAAACAGAAGCTTCTATTTCTGGGTGCTGGGATTTGGCTTCAGGGTGGCTAAAGGCAGCCTGAGCCAGTCTTGCCCCTGCAGTCCCTGAACTGTTAGACCTGAGACCGGATGGCAGGGGAGCCAGCCTCACTCACCAGGATGGACCCCTGCCAATTCACCTCCCTGTGATCTGAAGCCATCATGGATAGCAGGAGCCCAGAAACTGGTTATCTCAGAAATCTTCATCTCCAGCTCTGGCCCTCATCCAGCCACGCTGACTCCCCTGCAGCCTACTGAGATTGCATGCTGCCTGAAGGGCCTGGTGAGTCCTTCCCAGAAGAGGCAGGAATACTACAGAGTCCTGCATGTCTTGGTGGGGCAGGTCAAGGTCTGGCCAGAGACAAGAAGCAAAACTTGCAGCCAGGGAACTGAGGGGACACATAGAGCTCTTTCCCAGGGCCTGCAGAATGAGCGAGAGTTTCAGGATCCTGGTGTGGGATGAGTTCACTTGTATCCCTCCTCTCACTCCTAAAATTTTTATTCAGTTAGAATAAAAATACAAATGAGGAATACCGCTCCTATATCAATGGAAACATGAATGGCAACATCAAACAGAATTGAAGTTGTATAAGATACAAATACTGAGGGATCAGCTTGAAGAAGAAAATAAGGCCAAGCTACCAGCAATCCAGACAGGCCATTGGAGAACTGTGGCCAGCCCAGAGATTCACCCTGGCTGGAGGGGAATCTGGGACGGGTTCAGCTGTTTCTTGGCAGTAGTAGGAAGGGGAGGAAGTGGGCTTATCAGAGTCGACTAATAGCTTAACTTCTGGATCAGCCAAAGTAGACAGGAAAAAGTCAGGAAACAGAGGAATTAAAAACCCAATTATCAGGATCAATCCTAGAGGACATATATTAAAAATCTTTAAGAAGTGAAAAAAATAATGAGTAATTCAACTTCCAGGAACTTTGCCTACAAGGAAACAATAATCACACAAAGAGAAATAAAAAAGAATATTTATTAAAGCACTGTTTATAATAGCTAAAAGTTAGGAAAACTTAACCAATTCTCAGGGATCTGTTAAGTAAAATGTGGAACACAAGTAAATGAAATCACAGTTTCACTATATAATGCTCTCAAATAATTTTACAATTATACAATTATTTCTAGTAAGGTTGAAATATTTTAATATCCCTAGTAATCATCCACATTTTCACTTCCAGGCTTTGCTTTTTAATGTCTTTTTTTTTTTTTTTTTCCCCTGGAGCAACCAGAGGGCCCCTGTCAGGAGCCACAGTCAAGTCACTGGAAACCCCTAACCTCAACTCCTCAGCTTCCCACTTCCTGTCTGTCTCCCCTTGGCCAAACTCAACTGCAGGCCAGAGGGTGCCCATTGATGCGATCTCTAGAAGTCAGAGGGCATAAAGCACTGTTCATAATAGCTAAAAGTTAGGGCATGTTAATAGTTAGGGCAAAAGCATGTTAAATACACATTCCATTCCCCTCTCTCTAAGATAAACACTCAAATTGTTGAGAAGTGTTCCTACCCATTATAATAATATAAAAATATTTAGAAATCCTTACACTTTGTTATTAAATGAAAATCTAGGTTATAGAACAGTATATGTATGATCCCAACTACACAAAAATACAAATATAAAATACAGAAAAGCAGGTATAAATAACGATATATTGACAGTGGTAAACTTTACATAAGTGACTTTTGAAAGTTCCAAATTTTCCACATGAAATGAGTGAAGTTAATAACTATTTAAAATCATATCAAGTTTTAAATTTATATTCCAAGGAGCTCAGATGTTTGCCTTTTCTTCTTTTCTAAATCCCAATAAATAACTAAAGAAAGCAGATAAGGTCAAATCTATAGGAGCTCTGAAATGGGAAGCGACACCATGCAAGGACAGAGACAGAGAAGACTCTCCTCATGATAAGAAGTGGATGCAATCAAAGTGACGAAGTCTACTGAATGCCAGATGTTCTATGTAGAAGATGAAAGCATGAGAGAAAACCAAGAGAGAGAACTGCCTCAAAACCCCACAAACCTTGAAGTCATCCTCAGCTCTTCTCCTCTCACTCTCCATGGCCAATCCATCAGCAAATTTCAACCAAGCCTTTCAAAGACATCCAGAACTGAGTACCTCCACCATCCCAAACAGCATCATCTCTCATCTGAGCTAGTCCATTAGACTCCTAACAGACTCCTGTTGATCTTGCTGTCTCCACCCCCTGCCCCCATGCTGGCTTTTCTCCATGTGTCTCTCCATGTCTGCATTCCTTCTATTTTGACCTGGAGTGTCTTGAAAGACCAATGACTTCAGTGGGCTATGCCAACAGGCACACTTGCTCTATAACTTCCACTGTCTGTGTCAATGGGCACTCTGCCCTCTGACTTCTAGAGATCGCATCAATGGGCACCCTCTGGCTTGCAGTTGAGTTTGGCCAAGGGGAGACAGACAGGAAGTGGGAAGCTGAGGAGTTGAGGTTAGGGGTTTCCAGTGACTTGACTGTGGCTCCTGACAGGGGCCCTCTGGTTGCTCCGGGGCGGGGGGGGGGGGGGGGGAGACATTAAAAAGCAAGGCCTGGAAGTGAAAACGTGGATGATTACTAGGGATATTAAAATATTTCAACCTTACTAGAAATCAGGGAGCAACCAAGTGAAATGGTGGGGAGATCACCTTTCACATACACTAGAATGAAAACATTTAAGATTCAACCCCAAGTGCTGAGGGAAAATGAACAACTGTGCACACCACTGAAGGAGGGTGTGCTGGTTCAACCACTTTGGAGAGTAAAACGGAGATTGCGAGTCACGTGTGGTGGCCCCACCAGCGCTGAAGCCGCACGTGTGGCTAAGTGGTGGACCCACTTCCCAGGCACCCCAGAGGAAAGCTCTGAATCTGCTCAGTCTGCATGCACCCTGTCACTGCTGCATTATGGTTAAAAGTGAAATTTTAAGATGACCACAAATAGCAAGATGGTCAAATATGACATAATACAACCATATAAGAGCTTAATATGCAGTAATAAAAACAATTTTGCCTGATTTATATACACATTAAATGGCCCAAGAAATCATTTGGCATAAATAAATACTAACAGATTGTACCAACATAATAAATTTGAAAACATACTGTTGAGTGGAAAAGAAAACAAGAGGAAGTTCCAAAATGTATGTACATTTTGAAAAACACACAAAACTCTGCAGGCATAGATTAATTTTTTTTAATGGGTAGGAACACTTCTCAACAATTTGAGTGTTTATCTTAGAGAGAGGGGAGTGGAATGCGTATTTAACATTTTACTGGTTGAAATAAGCATTTTAAATTAATGTAATAAAATGACAACAGTTATAAAATCAAGCACATGGGTATTTGATATATCACTCTTAGTATCTACCAGAATTTTTAAAATGTTACTTAATTGAAAACTAGTTCCAGTAACTTATAGCTTACTCTCTAGATGTAGCCATCCACTTGCATTTGGTGCTCTGCTGTGGTGCCTACTATTCATTAGAATATGAAGATGTATTTTATTTGCACATGTCTGGGCAATTTTCAGGAACCACTAATCTGCCATTATTTTTGCTTAGCCATGTCTCATGCCAGCTTTAGGTATATACCAAATAGGTGAAGAAAATACATAAGACACAGATATATACATACTTGTGTACGCACCTTCAACTATGAAAGAGAAAAACCGGAAGTAACTTCTATGAAAAGATCACCAAGACAAATCTGCCCAGCCAAACCCAGCCCAGCTTTGCAGAATAGTGAGAAATAGTGAACGGGTGTTGCTTTAAGCTACTAAGTGTCTATGTATGTGTTGGCAGGAGTGAGGGATATCAGCAAAAATTGATAGAAACAGTGCTCTATGTTTAGAACCTGGCTGTCCTTGGTCCTGAATATGATCAGAATATGGTTTAAAAAGGAAACTAGCATTAGGAGAAGGAAGGGAAAAATGAAGGGAGGGAAATAGGAGGGAGAGATGAACCATGAGAGACTATAGACTCTGAGAAACAAACAGGGTTTTAGAGGGGAGGGTGGTGGGGGATGGGTTAGCCCGGTGATGGGTATTAAGGAGGGCACGTATTGCATGGAGCACTGGGTGTTATATGAAAACAATGGATCGTGGAACACTACATCAAAAACTAATGATGTATTGTATGGTGGCTAACATAACATAATAAAATTTAAAAAAATAAATAATAAAAATAAAAAGGAAACTAGCAGGGTTGGTCCTATCGTTTTTTTCTGTCTGGTACACAGACCTGACCGAGGCCATACCTTTTGCATTTGAGGATCCTGTTGTAATAAGCAGTTTTCATTTTCTCCTGAAATTTTCTTGCACATTGTTCGGGCAATTTTGACTTCAAGAAAGTAGTCCAAACTCTCTGTGACCTGTCAAGGAGTAATTTAAAAATTAGATATCATAGGGGCACCTGGGTGGTTCAGTCGGTTAAGTGTCTGCCTTTGGCTCAGGTCATGATCCTGGGGTCCTGGGATTGAGCCCTGAATCGAGCCCTGCATCGGGCTCCCTGCTCAGCAGGGAGTCTGCTTCTCCTTCTCCCTTTGCCCCTTCCCCTCACTCGTGTTCTCTCTTTCTTTCTCTCTCAAAATAAATAAATAAAATCTTTAAGAAAATAAAAAATAAAAATTAGATATTATAAATGAATACATGATATCAATTGTCATCTCTGATAAATAAACATGTCATTGACTGCTTAGGGCAAAGAACGTCTCCCCACCACCCTCCTTCCCTCCAATAGTTTCCTTGCCAGAAATTTTGGGGTAACTGGAGGGGAAGAAATTCCTCCCTTGATCTCTCTCCCTCTGTCTGTCTATCTCTCATCATGGTATTGAATGTTAAATAATGACAACTGTCCCCAAGATAAAGCAAGAAAACTATTCCCCAAAGAATGTTTTCCTGGGAAAGGTAATGGTTTGCTTATTGGAGCTTGGGAAATAAACAGCAGAGTCTATAACAGCTTCATACCTAGTCAATATTGGGAGAAGAAGACATCCCAGAACTGAAATTTGCTTGGAGGGTATTGCTTTTCTAACTTCCTTCCTTGGCAATTTTAGCAATCCAACCCTATTCCACATGATACACCCTCCCAAGTCCCTGATTTCAGGGACTCTTCCTCTCCCATGAAGAGCCCCTCACCAGCCCTTGTATTCCAGAGGGCCCTATGGGGAAATGGAGATGCACAATGGCAAATGGAGACTTTTATTATTTAAAAATGAGAACAAGGTAAGATTTTACAAAACTTAAGGGAGAGAATGTATTAAAGAGAATGACCAAGTTAAACACAATAACTGACCCTAGAAGAGTAAGAGATCATTTTGAAAACATAGGAAACATTTTGGACATTCTCAAGAAGTTGCCTGGGCATTGAACATAATGGTAGTGGTCGGCAGAATTCTAGGAACGGTTTCTTGAATATCATATATACTTTAAAATTTTCCAGTTATGTGTGTAAGTGTATATAAAGTGTCTGGAAGGACAGCCAACTGCTTCTGGGGGTGCCCTCAGGAAATGACAAGCCAGATTGGAAATGCAAGAAATTGGGTCTTTGTTTCTATTTTTCAACTCAATGACTTCCAGACGTCTATACTTCTAGAATATTTTTTATGACTGGATAACAAGTTTCTCAACCTCAGCACTATTGACATTTGGTGCTGGATCAGTCTTTGTGGTAGGGGCTATCCTGGGCACTGTAGGGTGCTTAGCAGCGTCCTTGGCCTCTGCCCGCTAAGTGTCAGTTAGTGGCCCCCTCTGGTTGTAAGAACCAAAAATCCCTCCAGGTATTGCCAAAAGTCCCCTGCCAAGCAAAATCCATGCCCACTTGAGAACAACTGCTTTATATTTGAGTAATATTTCCAAGTTAAAATTATCATAAAAACAAACTGCTCTGAATCATGCTCAACAAGCACCAACTGACCATTAGCCCTAGCTTGACCCCTAATTGCCTAGAAAAGGGAAGAGGATAGGGGTCCTGGCTGCTGAGGCAGCCCTTCACTGCTTTCACAGACAGGGCTTCTGACTCTCCTGACCTTCCATGACCTCTTTCCTCTGGCTGCAACGTCCCACCACTTTACTCCATCCATATCACTCAGGCAGTAACATGTGCTCATTCACAACAGACAGCCTGGGTTTAAATCTTGGCTCTTCTACATAATAGCTGTGTATCCCTGGACAAAATACTAAACCTCTCTGTGCCTATTTCCTTTTCAAAGTGGAAGAAAACAGTTCCTACATAATGAGTTATAAGATCTGAATGAGCATATGAAAAGCAACCAGGTCTGGCACAAAGTAGACTGTATATACAGTTGACCCTTGAACGACATGGGGCTTACAGGCACAATCAAAAATCCAAGTGGAACTTACGACTCCTCAAAAACTTAACTACTAATGGCCTACTGTTGACCAGAAGCTTTACCAATAACATAAACAGCCAACTAACACATATTTTGTGTGTCATATATATTATATACCATATTCTTGAAATAAAGTAAGCTAGAGAAAAGAAAATTTTATTAAGAAAATTATAAGGAAGAGAAAAAATATAAATATAGCACTGCACTGTATTTCTTGAAAGAAATTAGCATAATTGGACCCACGGTGCTTATTTTTACCATCATTCACCTCGCACAGAATCTGCAGCCGAGTCTCAGTCAACTATGAACTAGAGCAGGTAGCTGCAAACTTTTTCTTTAAGGACTGGAGAGTAAATATTTTAGGCTCAGAACACACAATCTTGTCAGTGAGGCACAAAAGTAGCCCTAGACTGCACTCAAATAATGCGGGTGGCAATGTTCTAATAAAACTTTATTTATAGACATGGAAATTTAAATTTTATGTAATTTTCATGTCACAAAATATCCTTTTTTTAATTTCTTGTAACTATTCTTAGTTCATGGGGCATACAAAATAAGCAGCAAGCCAGACTTGGCTGCAGGCTATAATTGTCCAGCTCTTGATAGAGAGCTTTGTACTTTTAAGTTATGTCAACCAATAAGATATAGTTGTTCTCTTTATATAGAGCCTGTGTGTGTTACTAAATTTAATCTGAATTATCACCAAGCATTTTTCTTTTTGCTTTTGTTTTGTTTTGAGTTAATTTTATTTGGGGGGGGGAGTGTTTCATTCTTCCTCACCTTTTTCTTCAGTGTGTTTTCCAGTGGTATGTAGATGGAAGGTCAAGGAATTTAAAATACCTCTCTTCTAGACTCTTTTTGAACCTGCTTCTACCTGATTCTTTTGAATTCTTACCTGCATTCAAGAGTTTACAGTGAGCTGAGAAATAAAATGTACATTCATGAAAAAACTAGCACACAGTACAAAATGATGTATAATTTTTGAGACATGAGAATTCGGTGTACTTTTGATTAAATAAAGCAGAACCATCTATTTTTGGAACTGAAAAAGCATAGATAAAGACAAGTCCGTGAAAGTGGAATAGTTCACTGTTAATTAGTTTACTACATATAAATGAGCCCCCAGGGCAGTTGATATTCATGAGACTTTAACTTGGCCACCCAGTGATGACAAACATCCTGGCCCCAGGTGTCCATTATCCAAGAAACACAAACAACATAACCAGGATCACACAAAAGAAAAGGAGGAAGCCAAGACCCACTGAGTGTGGAGGACGGCCAAGAGGCCAAATAAATGTCCCAGCCTCAAAGGGACATGAACCTGCCAAATGAGCCTTCTCTCCTGACCCCATTAAGAAAACAGGAATCTCAGCAGATTACTGGTGACCTGGAGGGATGGACAGCAAAGGCTAGAGAGCAGAGGGTGGAGAGGAGACAGGGCTAGTGAAGGAGGAAGAGGAGCACAAAGACTGTCCCTGTACAGCATGTCACTCCGATGTTGCAGGGTAGCCCCCTTTTCCCACCAACCCCTCTCTCTTCCCTTCCTTAAACTCCAGCCAGACTGGCTGAACCTCCATTCCTTCTGTGCACCTACTGATTCCTCTCTGGGGTCCCCCCAAACCACAGTCCAATCAATTTTCTTGAGAAACAACATTGATGCAATGCTCTCTTCTATGATATGGTCCGCATTTCAATTCCCCCAACTACATCTTTTATAGGGTTTTTTTTTTAATCCAAGGGATAATACAAGACCACATATTGAATTTAGTTGTCATGTTTCTTATACCTCCTTTAATCCAGAAGTTTCCCTGTTTTTTCTCCTGGTCTCTCATGACCCTGATAGTTTTAAGAGGTCTTACAGAATGCCCCATAATATGGATTTGTTCATGATTTCCTTCAGGGGGTGGATTTTAGACAAGCCTACCATGCACAGGTGATACTATGTCTTTTCCATGACTTCACATCAGGGGCACATGATGTTAGTTTGTCCCAGTGTTGGTGACAAGCATTTGGTGAACAAGGCATTTGCCAGATTTTCTGATTGTAAGGGTATCTTTTCCCTATTGTAATTAATTAATGAAAGAATCCCTGCAGCTTCTGCATGGAGCACTGGGTGTTATGCACAAACAATGAATCATGGAACACTTCATCTAAAACTAATGATGTAATGTATGGGGATTAACATAAGAATAAAAAAAATTAAAAAAAAAAAAAAGAATCCCTGCAGCAATTTGTCCTCCACCACTCTCCCACCCAGTGGGTGTAGGACTCATTGATGATGTTTGCCTGAAATAGTTATTGCCGTGATGCCATGATGATTTCCTACTTACACAGTCTTTTATATCTACAGGTAGGCGTTTTTCTGTAAAGAAGAGCCTTCCCATCCTTTTTTCAGTGAAAGGAGAGGATGCAGAAGCAGCAGGGCCAGGACTTGCACTTTCTTTGCCTTTTCACTGTGTTATAATTCATACCTATAATGACTCATTTGATGAAATCAGCCCAAATTGTCCCAGACTTAGCCCCCTCACAGCCTTCTTAGACTCTCACCTATACTTTCTGATATGACTGTAATCAATTTTAAGTTATTTTAATGGCTATTTCATAATAGAATAATAAAAGATGAAGCATAACTAATTTTCCTCCAAAAACCCCTAAAATAAAATTAATATATATTTGGCTAAAGGCATCTATCTCTCAGCTATTTTCCACTCCCTGGGGTCTGTGCCCTCTGTGGATAATGGGCCCCCTCATGACCGCATCTTGGAGAGAAAAAGCAAAGAGAACATGCTCACCAACCTGCTCCTGGGATTTCAGGACCTTTACCACCTTGAAGGTGTACTTGTCTTTGCTGGTCTTGTTATACTCTTTCATGGCAAACCACAGGGCCTGCTGCACATAGACGTAAGTTTCCGGGATGTCTTGGAACTTCCTCACCACCTTCGACCTGCCCCAGGTGTGGACACCTCTGGACACAAGGGTCACAGTGGCCACCAGGAACAGCAGGCTCAGGCAGAGTCTGGCCATGGTACCTCAGCCAAGGGGGTATAGGCCTTGTTCCTTCTATCCTTCCAGGACTGGGGCAGGACATGGGCTGGGCTGGCCTTGCTGCTTCTACACCCTCAGGTCTTCCTGGCACTGCTAGGGACGAAAGGGGGAGAACTTCTGTTAGTTTCGTGTCCTATGGTCTCTTTCTCCTTCCTCAAAGAGAGGTAGAGTAAGAATTGGGCAGTCACAATTCAGACCATTTTCCCATCTTTCTGGAGGGAATGCTTGCCTCCATGCACTCACACTCCTTTCCATCCCTACCAACTGACCCCTGCCTCTTTGCCTGCGAGGTTCCCACACATCTAGTGCAAGTGTCTCTCTGTATCTGGTCTCAGTGCAAAGAAGGCACAAGGACCTGCAACAGAAGCACTGTCACAAGAAGAACATGGGTCTCGAAACTCATCTTGTTTCCTCTTCAGGAGCATGTATGAAAATCCTCAGCTGAGCCTTTGTCTGGCCTCAAAACTGCCCCCACCATCTCTCCCATTTCCAGTCAGGCTCATTAGCCATCACACTGGGGTCTGTTTATGGAGTATTATTGAGTCTTGCCAGGCCCTATAATAAGGATATCACATGTTTCTCTTATTTAATTATCTCCCTTGGGGCCACATAATGAGTAGTCCCTTTTACACAGGACGAAAATAGGTCTCACAAAGAGGTCAAGTAAATGCCTCGGGCTACCTGTCAGAGCTTTACTTCATTGCCTGAAACACACCTTCAGACCTACCTCAATCTAACAAATGAGTAAGTGTAGATCACAGCTTGTAATGTGCATTTGCTCTTGAGGAGATTCCATTCTCCTATAAAAGGTGAATCGGGATGTAGTTCATGAGACAGAGGCACAACAGTTAATGTGTTAAGTATAGATAATGAAGAAGCAAATAGCCTGACAGGTGTAGGGGCCAGGGGCAGGCCACATCAAGGAAGCCACCTGGGCATGAAGATAATTTTGATTTAAAAAACAATCAAAACCCAGCAGATTCAGGGAAATTTCTTTACCTCCTCGCCTCCTCCAGCCACCTAAAAAGAATTTAGAGGCCCTGCTCCAGGAAGAGAGCTATCACCACAGACAACTACATTATGATGTGAACATGGTATGGTAGACAGGGGTAACCTAGTAAGGCCTGTTGGATCAAAGTCCTCTCTTTGTCTCATTGTTTCCATGGGGCCAATAAATATTTGTTTACCAAACATCAATTCTTTTTCTTTCTTCTAGAGGATTACATTTCTTCCCTTTGAAGTCCCAGATTCCACCCTCCTTTTCCTTAGTTCAGAATGACTTATATACATCAGTTTGCCTGACTGTCTTTGGAATTTCCATGTCTGTGTGGATTCCCCATATGTATGAAATTACATTTGATTTTTCTCCCGTTAATCTGTTGCATGTCAATTTGATTCTTAGTCTGGCTGGAAGGACCTTGAGGAAGACAGGAAATTTTTCCTCCCCAACAGAGACAAAGGCAGAATCCAAAGGTTGTGTTCACCACAGACAAGTGCTAAGTATAGCTTGCCTAAGTTGAGCAAGGACTGTGGCAGCAGAACCTAAGGGCAACTGATATCCATCAGACACTAACTACACATGAGATACATAGAGCACAGAATATTCATAAGGTCTTATGTCAACCAACCAGTGATGATGCCATCATGGCCCCATGTGTCCTCACCCCAGGAACCACCAACCAAATCCTCAACATGTCCAGCTGTGCCAGGCAGACTTACCTGTGTCTCTCCTCAGGGCCAGTGGGTGTTTCCGACACGTTGCACAGGCTTTGCTCAAATCCCCGCTCTGGGCCCTGTAACCCCATCAGCAAGGAGACTGAAGCAGCAGAGAGTATCACAGGTCCAGGGTCTGGGCAACATGGCCTTTGTGTCTCCCCAGTTTGCCCCCATATCTGAAGTATGTTAAATTGCTTCATTTCCCCACCTAGCCTCTTGCCTGATGGTTTGCACTTACTTGATATACATGGGATTTGCTTGAGCGGCTAACTTTGGCCTGTGAGACTTTCTACTCCATAATATCTGAATATGTTGCCCAGGGCACACTTGGAGGCCATCCTGGCATTATAGACCTTCCCCACCCAGTACAGCTATACCCCAGACCCACCTCAGAACCAAGTTCTTCACCACACTCCTGCTTGCTGAGACTTGAGCTGGCTGTCCTCACCCACAGGTGGTATCTTTCTCCTTCTGAGGACTTGAGCTTTGACCAGCTCCCCTCATGGGGACACTCAAGCACACTCAGTTCTTTCCCCTACACCTGGTCAGTGTTAGTTAGGCCTGAGTCAGGGGTGCTTCTGCCCTCTGGCTACACTCTCTGGCCAGGTGGTCACATCTATGGGCCCTTTGTGAGGTAAGCCCAGCCCCTCTGATGCTCTTCAAGGGCAGGGCACCTCTAACAGGTCCCTCAGCTCCCAGAGCCCCACAGGCTCAGCAAGACCAGCAGTATCTGCCCCTAATGCAGAAATCTTGCTTGTTTCACACCTCTTGGCTTTCTAAATTCCTGGGCTTAGGACTGAACTCCTTGGAAATGAAAGCACCTCCATGATCATTTCCGTCAGGGTTCTGTTATATGACTCCATAGTCCTAGAGGCAGGATGAGGCACCAAATGGCCAGGTCAGGGAATCTGGGACTGAGAGGCACTTGGGGAGGTGGTGCCTATGGCTAGCAAGAGCTGCCCCCAGAAACACCAAGCAGAAGACATCATTTGGCAATGACAGTACTGGCATAACCTACCTCTGTGGGATGAATGAATGAGCAGATCCCCACAGACCCATTAGCCATATGTACCTCCATTGTTAACCTTGTCCCAAGTAAACATTCCCCATTCTGCCTCCCTCTCCCTTGGGGGGGTTCCCTCTCCTGGTAGTGATTCTTAGGCCCAAACCAGGCTCCACTGAGGAGCAGACTCCATCCCACTCTGCAGTTAGAGCCTAGCAGTAACAGGGAGCTCCTGGGAACTCAGAAACCTGGGGATTAATATTTGTCTTTCCAGAGCAAAATATAGATCAGCATAAAGAGAATCTTACCTGAGATACATAAGATAAAACTCCAAACAGGAAGTCAGACTCTTGGGCCTGTAAAACCTGAGAGTGCCTGGCTGAGGGTTCAGATGTTTGAGACAAAATTGTGTGCTCGACCTGAGGAGCACTTTCTAAGCAGGTATAAAACACAATCACCAAAATGGGAAGTAATAATTAATTTGGCCACACATTTTGTTGCTTGCACACACATGCACATATAGGCAAAGTCGAGAGATGAATGGGAACACAGAATAAGTTATTTGGAAGATATTTGGTATTTGGCAAAGGACTGAATTCTCTTTTCTGGAAAACTCTTTTTAAATCCAAAAGAAAAAGACAATTTCCTCCTTTGTCTTGATTCAAAGTGAGTCAAGAATTTGAGCAGACAACACATCCAAAATGAATCCATTTCCCCTCTTGGCCACACATCAACTGTTTGAAAACAACTGGCCTGTGGTAAGAACTCTCTTTAGCTGCCCCTGTTGATTCACCTCTACCTGGTATCTGTGTCCAGAGGAAGTTGCACAATGTAAAGCAGAGAGACACCCACACCCTTCTCTGTGACTTCCACAGGTCTGGACAGGAGCCCATTTGTGATGCCACTTCCTCTCAAAGAAGGTGGTCCTGGGAAATAAAAGGGAGTGGGGGAGTTGCTGAATGCTGTGGTGGATGTGGACCCACAGATCTGAAGGGGAAGGGGCTCCATCAAGCCAGAGTCCTGGGGCCCATCCTCAGGTCTCGACTCCTCCCCCCAAAAACCCTCTCCTCCCAACAAATCACACTCTCTACTTTGGAGTCACCAGAAACCACAGATGCAGATTGTTCCAGAAGCTATTGCCATCCAAAAAGCCTTTCTTTTTGCTCATGACTGCAGGCATCAGGATTTCAAGAAGGGACCAACAGGGTGCTTGTCACTCAGGGTATCCCATGGATTTGGAGAGCAGCTGGGACGCACCTAGGCTCATTGCTCATGTTTAGGGTGATCTTTTAAGCAACTTTATTAAATCTAATTCCCATACCATCCGTCCATGTAAGTACACAATTCAACGGCTGGTAATGTTTTCAAGGGTCATTCATGTTATAGCATATCTTGCTACTTCATTTCTTTTTATTACCAAATAATATCCCATTGTATGTGTATACCACATTTCATTTATCTATTCACCAATTTGCACACATTTGGGTTGTTTCCACTGTTGAAAAGAAAACCACAGGCCTAAATGGCATCACTTAGGTTAAGTCCCCAAGTCAGTAAACCAAGACTTAATAACTAACCTAACTACAGTGTCAACCCACCAGAAATGTAATCTTTAACCAGTAAACATGGAATTTCCTGGTAAACACTAGGAAATTAACTGATAGACTCCTTTCACTCCCCTTAGAAGGGCAACTTTGCTTAAACAAGGCATCTCTTGCTAATAAATTCCTTTCTTCCTCTTCTTCCTCTTTCTTCTCCCCTTTTCTTCTTCTTCTTCTTCTTCTTCTTCTTCTTCTTCTTCTTCTTCTTCTTCTTCTTCTTCTTCTTCTTCTTCCTTCTTCTTCTTCTTCTTCTTCTTCTTCTTCTTCTTCTTCTCTCCTTCTCCTCTGTTTTTTCCTACCCCTTCCTCCCCCTCCTCCTCCTTCTTCTTGTAATGCCCTCTCTATGCTTTTAAAAACCCTTTTCTGTTTGTCTGTTTATTTAGCTCAGTGAATTTCCCTTCTACTTTTTAGATAGGATGCTGCCTAATTCACGAATCATTTAATAAAGCCAACTAGACCTTCAAATTTACTCATCAAATTTTGTTTTTTAACACCATTTTTTGGCTATTATGAATAATACTGTTAGAACCTTTATGTTCCAAGATTTGTGTAGACACTTGAGTATATACCTAAGAGTGGAATTATTGGGTTGCATGGTAACTCTATATTCAACATTTTGAGGAATTACTGGATGGTTTTCCAAAGTGGGTACACCATTT